AGAAGTCTGACAAAGGTGGCAGCTTCAGTGCTCCAGCGGCCACCGAGCTCAAGACCGAGGACGACAAGCTTGCATCGCGCAGATTGTCGAAGCTCTGGGTAGGTGCGCTCCTTGTTTTTCTTCTTTTTTTTTTTGGTGCACCTTTTTCCACCCGTCAACCGCAGTCGGCACCCCTACAGCCACTCCACCGGAGAACCCAGGCTGCCTGAGCAGCTGGGCGGAGCGCAGGCGGCGCGGCAGAGGCACGGGCGCGCGCGAGCAGGCGGAGGAAGGAGGCGGCTTCGGCGTCCCAGCGGCCGCCAACCTCAAGCCGAAAGACGACCAGGCAGCACCTCCTGCCGTTGTCGAGCTCGGGATAGGTTTGCCGGCGCTTGCGCCTGACATCTGTGCGCACAGCAAGGCCTAAAACATGCGCGCGGAACAGCGCGAAAAGAACCTCCGGGAGAACCCTGGTGAGTTTCCCGACAGCGAACTGGCCCTCCCAATTGCCCAGCATGGCGACTTCATCGCGAAACTCGCCCAGTGACGGAAGGATATGGAAGGATGAGGACCACCAGTTGATCGCGCGGGTGCCCGAACTGTTTCCGCATGGCTACGGTCGCTGTACCGACGTATTTGCTGCGAGCCCGGCCGGCGGCCGACAGCGCAAACTTCGCTGCCATGCTTTTCATCGAGATTAACCCTGGCGGATGTGCCTCCCGACGATCAGCCGCTTGCCGGCGCCACCATCACACGCTGCCTGAAGCTCGCCGTAAGCCGTAGCTCCGGTTGTCTCCGTGCTAGTCCACCCGTCTCCCCGCCGTGTGAACCACGCCCTGCTTGCGGGCGACGTGCTTGCACCGTAGCCGTAGGTTGCCGGTAGCTAGTTGTAACTTTAGCCTTCCGAGCTGAGGCACCTTTGGCAGCCGGAAAAAATGTCCGGGGATGCAACATCCTCCCGCTCTGGCATGGTGCCCAACCTGCCGTCGCCGGCAAAGAGACCCAGCCATGCCGATGTGCGCCTGGATGTTGGCATGTCGCGCGCAAGGGCTTCCGCCACGACAGCGAACTGGCCGGCGGTGTGTTCGGGTGCCCGTGCAGTAAAGGTGTCATCCAGGAACGCATGGAGAGTGTTCGACGGGTGAGGGCCTCGAGCTTTCCGGTGTTGTCCTATATACGGCCGACAAATACGGCTGCACTTCGTGCGCTGGGCCTTTTGTATCGGACAAATAGAAGACGTAATTCGGCGAACCGTAGAAATTGCAGCATAGGGGAAGAGGCCGGCCATGCAGTGCAGGTCGGTGCTCTGTCGAGAGATGTGGTTGTCGGTGCCCACACCGTTGACGCTCACAGCACTGTGGTCTGGTGGTCGCGCACCAAGGTTTCCGCGCTTGCCTTTGTGCTGAGGGCGTACACTGGCGTGCCAGCGCGCTGGAACCCATCCTGGAGAGCGGGGCGAATGCGAAGGCACGGAGCCACTTTCAGGTGACCTGCTGGCGGATGCTCGTGACGCCGAGCCAGCGCCCGCGAATCGTCACTTCCCCCGTGCTGGTCGCCCCTTTCGTGCACGAGCGGATTCCACTTTGCTACATGGTGAAAATGCCTTTGGTTTGAACACGCCGACTGCGAGTGACGGTGCTAACGGGTCAGTGAGAACAAAGAGAACATGAGGAATGCATGCAAACACTGAGTGCGGCGGCAAGCAAACTGGCCGGTGCAGAGGAGGTTATCGGCTCAAGAGCCCTGGTCACAGGGCACGGAAAGCCAATCAATTTTACAGGACTGCTAACACTATGTTTCCGCCAAACTGCACCGCTGAGCACGGTCGGGAAAAGGGTCAAGCTGCTTGCCTGAGCTGCTCTGCTGCCTCGCCAACGCCGGCCGCAGCCGCTTCGGCAATTCAATACACTTGTTCGGTTGTAGAGGGGACAGTCGCCTCCCTGTTCCGATGCCTTCACGACGTTTCCCGCGTCGCGCCATCGGCACACCTCCGCGTCCTGCTCCGACGACTCCGGCTCCCCATTCCCCGCGCTCCTCCGCGCACGTGCTCCTGCCTAGGATCTGCAGCTCGGTGACCACCGCTCAGCCACATCGTGTTTGTGTTTGCTTCCCGGGCTTTTCTGCGCGCGTCAGCATGCTGTTGCTCGCGTATGTCGTGAGGCCGGGGCACATGCACTGGCGGGCCGGAACAGTCCCGTCGCAAACATGAAACCTCACGTGCTTCTCAACAATTCCCGCCGCATTGAAGTGGTTGCCAATAGATTTTTTTCCGCACGCCCTTCCCGGCCGCCTAAAATCTCGAAGCACCTGCCGTATCCTAAAAGGGCGCGCTTCCACCAGGGCTTCAACACCGCCCCTCACGGCGGCCAACAAGTCCGTGAGGACCTCGTGCAGCTCAGGCGCCTCCACGGCGACGACGTTTCAATCACGGGCGAGCAGGATTTCCAACAAAGATGCCGCGATCGCGTGCGGCGCAGCGACAGGTAGTAGCCCCGACTAGTGGGCAACCCAAGCATGGAAGTTGCCAGCTTTGCGATTGCTGATGAAAGGTGTGCGGCGTAAGCTGATGGAATGTTCCAAGGGGGAAAGCATGGAGCGATTCGGCCTCAGCTGGATGGATGAGTCGCGAACGTCGTTGCCAGGCCCGTTGGAATCGCCTCTGGACCGGCGAAGGTTGAACCCTTCGGTGCGAAGCAAGCGAGCCCGACCAAAATTTCCTTTCACAATTCCTGCCAGATTTTTGCAGTCGGCCATCGAAACAAACGTGAGGTCCGCGATGAGCTGCGCCTGACGCAACGGCGTGCGTGCTGGTAGAGGAGATATAGAAGATGCTCCTGCTGTTTGCGTTGAGGGGGACACGGCGAGGAACATGTAGTCAGGATGGGCGGATATCATCCCCCCCGAACGCAGCTCTTTCTGCAGGGCACGCCAGGCAAGGCATGGCAATCGCGCCCGAGCAGGTGAGGAAATCACGTCGTTTCAGGCTACTGAGGCATCGTTTTCGTGAACATCAGGCGGATCATCTCGCACGAGAACCAAGGATCCCGGCACAGCTCCTACCAGCGCCGTCCTGTCGGACGCGCGTGGTGCCGGCGACACGTAATTGAGCAGTGACTCTGCTTGCCTGGCTGCTGACCGTTGGTTCAGTCGCGGTGGCTCGGGGGCCGATGGCCGGACAATGGCAGGATGTCGGTGGTCACGTGCAACTGTTTTGGCGACGGCACACGGCTGTAGTTGGCCAAAGTCTCCACGCACATCTCCCTTCACTGCTCCTCGGACGTGAATTCAACAACTCATTTTCCGTGATGGATGCCAGAAGCTGGGCTACAAGCTGAAACTGGTGTAATGCCGTCCCCGACGACGAGTGGGAACGAAAAATGTGAAGGCACGTGAGGGGTGTGCCAAACACGTTTTCAGCCCTGCATCGTCGCAAATTGCCAAATGCAAGGGCTGTCATGCGATTGCATGTTGAAACAACCCAAGTGTACACAAACAAACGACAAGTGTCCGTCGAAGTAATTTCCTGGGGCTTTCAACTCAAACACGTCACGACAAACAACAACCCACCAGCCTGAACTGTCTTTTCAATAAGACCCTGCAGCTGCTGGTAGTATCCGCCAACCCCGTTCGCAGGTTTGGAATGAGCATCACCCGCCAGGCGCCAGTCATATGGAGCAATGAACACGTCGGTCCCCAATTCGTACCTGCGTCGTCGAAATGACCCTGAACCTTCACTTGCGCTCTGACGCGCAGCTTGTGAGCTTCCGACCCAAGTTGTTGCTGCAAGTGGTGCAGCATCGTGTCGAACTGGTAGTTGTACAAAATGTCCTGCAAGTCATTCAATGCATCTTCACCCATGCCACAAACACTATCCATCTGCACTCCTTGTGGCTTTTGCCGTTTGCCGTGCCGTTGCCCCAACCAAGCGCTCGCAATTCAACGCCGGCCAAATTCCTGCATGATGAGCTGCATTTCGAAGGTGTTCAATCGCTTTTGGTACACACGCACACACACAAACAGCAAACAACATCGAAGAATTTGCAACGAGAAACGAATAGACATCTGTGGCGGCATCATACGTCAAAGTCATGCGTGCCATCAAGCAATCGATCTCCCATGGCAAGGCTTGTACCTGCAAACTCAACATTACAGGACACCAACACGGAACCGAACACAGCACAAAAACAACTAAATTGTTGCATCCGAATTGTTGTTGGTAGCTGCAGCCGAAGCACAGCGCTGACCCATATTTGCATCCATTCATTGGATGTGCGCTTGCACCAGAAGTGAGGCATTGGTGAATCACGCTCCTTCACTTCCAGCGCGCTGCCTGTAAGTCCAGGAACCAAGATTAATGGACGATTCCTTGCTCCATATCCACGAGCGATGCCGCCGACAACCAACCATAGCCACAAGATCTTCATTGCTGCTCAATGCATCAACTGCGCTGACTGTGCTGCTTTAGAAATTTCACCAACCAACACCAACGACGGCGGCAAATAAGCATCAAGCATTCGAGCTGCAAACGTCATGCTGTCAACACGTCAAAAGTGATAACGTTGATTACCTCTGCTTATGGCAAATACTTCCATCGAAAGGCAAAACACCAAAAACAACAACCACCAACCAACTGCTACCAAAAACTTGATTGAACCGCTTTTAGGCAGCTATGCGGTTGTGAAAGCTGAATTTTCGAACTCTTCCTATTCGGCAAGCTGGGTTTTTGGCAAGCAAGATACAGCCCAAAGCAAATCAACCCAAAAGCACCGATGAATGAAAATCAGATTAAGACTTACCAAACCCGAAAACGCAACTGTACCTTTTTCGCATCACTGTCGTTGTCGCTGTCTGGCTTTTCATGGCTGCTGGAAGAAAGCTTTGAACAGCTCGTCTAGCTCGGGCTCACTTGCCTATCCAAAGTAGCTCGCTGCTAGACCGTTGCAAAATCGCCCGAGCGAGTGCGACGGATTATGATGAATAAAAACCCAAGCAGTGGCTTTCTCATTTGCACCAACAAATCTCGGCCCAATGTTCCACTGTCAACGCATTGCTGGGGCTGCGACCACACGCAGGTGAATGTGACATAGGTTGGCAGCCTCCATCGTGTTTTTGGCAAGCTGTAGACAAGTCAAGCTCGCGTTCTTGTTTGTCTGTCAGCCTGCACTGTGCGCCATCGACACATTGTCGAAAAAAGAGGTTTCAACACTCTGTGTCTTCTTGGTCGTCTATTTGGGTTGAAGGCCTCTGGCCGGGCTGGCAACGGGCGCGCGCAGACCGATGATCCCACCTCCACTCATGAAGGTCTTCGAAGTCAACTCGGCGGCAGTTGCTCGGGATGAAGCCTCCATACCACAAAACAAAATAACAGAAAAGGAGCAAGGAGCGTTGAAAAAGTGTAAAGCAAGTGAGAAAGGTTTGCTGACCAAGAACAAAATTTTTCCTCAGCTTCCACAGAGTTTCTTGGACATTTGCGACACTCCTTCGCGTTTTCTATACCACTGGACCAAATATTATTTTCTTTCTGCAACTAAGACCATTCAAAACCGTCTTAACCTGTTAGACGCAGAATCTTTTCGCCGTCTGCAACTTTACTCAGACTTGAAAAAATTAATAAGAATCAGCAGTCTGTTGCCAGCTTTTGCGAGATCCGCAAACATTCTTGCGTGAGTCTTGCCACAGCTCATTTGTAGAAGTTTCTAACCACGAAAACTCTGCCTGCGTAGTACAAGAGGCTTGCGAATTCACAAGTCCGGCAAGTCAACGTCTGGTTCCGAAAGCATCTTTTGCGATACTTTTGGAGTTTCAGACACCCAGATCAGAAGCTACTTGCAAATCTAACCAAAATGATTTGAGAGTGTTCGAGCAGTGCAAGGCTGGTCTTGGTCCTAAGGCTTCCTACGGCATAAATCTTCGGTCTAATGCGTTCACTGCCTGACGCGATACAAGCTTCGCTTGAAGCTAGACGTCAGTTGGAAGCAGGTGCATCTCGATTGTCAACACGAAGCCGTAATGTTCGAGTGAAGTTTTTGAACAACATCACAAACGATGTTTCGAATGAGAATGCAACATTTGAAACGCGGCAGACTGCCTCTTTAGAAGTGCAGGTGTTCCGAAGACAGAACGTCCTAATAATACACCAAAACGGGTCTAGCTCACATCCTAGAAACTTAAAAAACATGCATCGTGGTTTTCATTGTTCAGAAACGAACTGTCCAATTGGTGGACACGTCTTGTTCAGTTCTGTGGACGCAATTTTTTGAAAAGAAAGATCGTCCCACCGGCACCTTCTGAGTCCATCTAGATTCCATTTTTCTTGAACTGGGTCCCACTCTGTTTGGGTTCAAAAGTTTAATAGCAGCGACGAGAACACACGGTTTTCTTGCACACGACTTGTCTTTGGCGTTGTTGTCAGATGCGGGTGGGCAATTGTTTGTAGAAGCCAGCCACGGAGGGGATGGGGATGGTGCCAAGCTAGCCGTCCCAGTTTCCTCCAACACACAACATGCGGTCGACGAGGCATCGAATTTGAAGCCCTAAAAAAGATTGACGCCCTCAAACTGGTTCAGAAACGTGCCTATTGGACAGTTTCTGAGTCTTAAGAAGCTTTTGCGAATTTGCGAAAGATCAAAGGACCAAAGGCTGGCCGAAACAGATCACTGGCACCCAAATTGACCACTATGAAGCGTTCATTTGGGCTGTTTCCCATTCAGGCGCTTTGGACAAGGGCTCCACCCTTCTCTTCTCTCCCAGCGTGCTAAAAGCTCTTGTCACAATCATCTCTAGTACAACACTGTTGGTCTTTATGGCAACTGTGATAAACATGGCCTAGAAATTAGACGTACATGTGAAGAGCAAAGCAAAGTCATGCGGGGAGATCAAGCGCAAGCGGTTGCGTGGCATGCAGCTTGGTGCAAAGCGGGCGGTAGAAAACGTTGCTGTTGGGAAGCAGCTCAGGCTGTGGACTGACAGTTGTTGCTGTAGGATTCCTCGGATCAGTTCGCATGGCCTGCACTTCGACTTGAAAACAAACAGCTAGGCTTCGTCCGTGAACATACCACAAAAACGGCGATCGCAAGACTCAGAATGCTCATGAGGCTCGTCCTCGGCCAAGTTTCCGGGGCCAGAAAGCGGTCTCACATGTAGTGTGGACACTCCTTCTTCCTCCTGGCCAAATGCCGAAGTGTGAGAATTGTGACAATGTCCACTGCCTCAGCTCTTCCGTTCAGGTTTGTGGGACTTGGACGGGACGCGGTGGATCTGGTGGGCCACGAAGACTTAGATGGGCTTAGATGGAAAACATGGGGAGCCATGCTCGCCAGGACCCAGTGCTCTAAATAATAGAGAAAGGAGGCCCGTGGGGGTATTTTTTAGAAGGCCAAAACCGCGACAAATATCCTCGAAAACGGCCTTTTCGACCTTCCGAGATTTTACGAGGGGTGTCCCGTAAGGCCGAAAAG